GCCTCGCTTAGCTTCGCTTAGCTTGCTTCGCTTCACCTAGCCTTCGCTTTCCGCTTAGCTTCCGGCTTCGGCTTTGGCTATTCGCTTTTGCTTGGCTTCGCTTGTAGGCCTTTTTGCTTCACTTCGCTTCGCTTCTCTTAGCTTCGCTTTGCTTCTCTTCGCTTCTCATAACTTCGCTTCGCTTCACTTCCCTTAGCTTCGCTTAGCTTCGCTTTGCTTAGTTTTGTTTAGCTTTGCTTAGCTTTGCTTAGCTTCGCTTCGCTTCGCTTAGCTTCGCTTAGCTTCCCTTCGCTTCGCTTAGCTTCGCTTCTCTTTGTTTAGCTTCGCTTAGCTTCGCTAGGCTTTGCTTGGCTTCGCTTGGCTTCGCTTAGCTTCGCCCGCTTCGCTTAGCTTCGCTTTGCTTAGCTTCGCTTAGCTTCGCTTCGCTTCGCTTAGCTTCGCTTCGCTTTGCTTAGCTTTGCTTTGTTTTGCTTAGCTTCACTTCGCTTCTCTTCGCTTCTCTTCGCTTATCTTCGCTTCGCTTTGCTTAGCTTCGCTTAGCTTCCCTTTGCTTCGCTTAGCTTCGCTTTTCTTCCCTTAGCTTCGCTCAGCTTCGCTTAGCTTCGCTTCTCTTTGCTAAGCTGCGCTTAGCTTCGCTTAGCTTCGCTTCGCTTAGCTTCGCTTTGCTTCGCTTCGCTTCACTTTTCTTTGCTTGGCTTCGCTTCGCTTCCCTTAGCTTCGATTCGCTTCTCTTAACTTCGCTTCGCTTAGCTTCGCTTCGCTTCTCTTAGCTTCGCTTCGCTTTTCTTTGCTTCGCTTGGATTCTCTTCGCTTCTCTTAACTTCGCTTCGCTTATCTTCGCTTAGCTCCGTTTCGCTTCTCTTAGCTTCGCTTAGCTTCCCTTCGGTTCGCTTCGCTTCTCTTTGCTTCTCTTCGCTTAGCTTCGCTTCACTTTGCTTAGCTTAGCTTGGCATCGCTTCGCGTATCTTCGCTTAGCTTTGCTTCGCTTCGCTTAGCTTCGCTTTGGTTGGCTTACCTTCGCTTGGCTTCGCTTAGCTTTGCTTAGCTTCACTCTGCTTCGCTTCGCTTCGCATAGCTTCGCTTCGGTTCTCTTAGCTTCGCTTAGCTTCGCTTCGCTTCTCTTCGCTTTGGTTCGCTTCACTTAGCTTTGCTTCACTTAGCTTTGCTTCGCTTCACTTAGCTTCGCTTCGCGTCTCTTTGCTTCACTTCGCTAAGCTTCGCTTCACTTAGCCTTGCTTGGCTTCGCTTCGCTTAGCTTTGCTTGGCTTCGCTTCGCATCGCTTACCTTTGCTTCGCTTAGCTTTGCTTGGCTTTGCTTGGCTTCGCTTCGCTTTGCTTAGCTTCGCTTAGCTTCCCTTCGCTTCGCTTAGCTTCGCGTTGCTTTGCTTCGCATCCCTAGCTTCGCTTAGCTTCGCTTAGCTTCGTCTAATGGGTCAGGTACATGAGCCTAGGTCAGTCCACGAGGCGCTGAACCGTCCCGAATGGGTTGAGTCCATGCATGAGGAGCTTGAGTCTCACAAGGTAAATGGATCATTTGAGCTGGTTGATCCAGCAGTGGTACCACCTGGTTTGGAGGTCCTCAGGTGTCAATGGGTTTGGAAATACAAACATAACCCTGATGGTACCGTTGAGAGGCCTAAGTCCAGATTGGTGGTGATGGGAAACATGCAGAAATTGGGAGTACACTATGAAGAAGTGTACTCTCCAGTTGGGAAGCATGCGACCTTGAGAGGTATGCTTGGAATTTCGGCTGCTTTGAAGCTTGACATCCATGATATGGACGTCAAGACAGCCTTCCTCCATGGGGATTTGGAAGAAGAGCTTTACATGCGGCAGCCCCCTGGTTTTGATAATGGGTCTAACCGAGTGTGTCGCCTCAAAAGGTCCATTTATGGGCTGAAGCAAGCCCCACGACAGTGGTACCTTAAATTTGATGAGGCTCTCATGGATTTTGGGTTTGAGAGATCTGAGTGTGACCCTGCCTTGTACCACTTTGTGAGAGATGAGGAGAGGATCTCCTTATTCCTCTATGTGGATGACCTTTTGCTCCTATGCTCTAGTAAGGTTTTGTTAGATCGAGTGAAAGACTTCTTGTCCTTACGTTTTCGCATGAAGGACTTGGGGCAGGTGAAGTACTACTTGGGAATGCAAATTGAGCGTGATGAGAGTGGTATCTTGATTCATCAAGAGAGGTACATTCTTAACATGCTTCAGTCCTTTGGTCTTTCAGAGGCCAACCCCGTGCGTACTCCTCTGCCGACAGGCTTTGATGTGCATGCCTATGAGGATGAACCTTTGCTGAGCTGGTCAAGCTCTACCAAAGCATTGTGGGATCCCTCATGTATGCTTGTACTACCACACAGCCGCAGATTGCATTCGCAGTCTCACAGCTATCTAAGGTCGCCTCTTGTCCTAAAATGTTCCACTTGCAGGCCGCTAAGAGAGTGCTGAGGTACCTGAAAGGTGGTGTCAAGTCAGGTATCTTCTTCCAAACACAGCCCCAATCTCAGGTCCAGCTGGTTGGCTTCAGTGATGCCGACTATGCTGGAGATTCCGCAAGTCGCAAGAGTCACAGTGGGTATGTGTTTTGCCTGAATGGGGCAGCTATCTCTTGGCAGAGCAAGAGGCAGCCCGTGGTGGCACTCTCTACCACTGAGAGTGAGTACATAAGTCTGTGTCAGTGCATTCAGGAGGGTGTGTGGCTGAGGCGTTTGTTTGGGGAGTTTGGCCATGCTCATACTGGTGGTGTGCCTGTGTTTGTGGACAATCAGTCTGCCATTGCCCTTGCACAGAATGCATGCTTGCGTGGCCGCACCAAACACATGCAGGTCCGGTGGCATTTCATTCGGGAGATGGTGGCTGCGGGAGAGGTGATTTTGCAGTGGTGCCCCACCAACCGTCAGGCTGCTGATATCCTTACCAAGGCTCTTCCATTTGAGCGCCATGGTGTGTGCATGACCTTGCTCGGGATGCAGCCCCATGATGACCGGGTTCCCGCAGCAGATGCCGGCGTCTTGGTGCTCCTCTCCTTGGCGGACTCCATGCTCTGGGTGGCCCCAACCCATGGACAAGGGGGAGTGGTGTGAAGTCTTTTGCCCTATGGTGTTGAGCCACACCCAGCACGAGCAAGGGGGAGTGATAAATGTGTATTATTCTGTGGTGTAGTTTGCTCTAGCTGGTTGTGGGCTATTGGGTTTTGGGCAAAAGGACTTGGGCTGGTTGGCAAGGTTTGAACTCGTTACATTACCAACACATACAACCTCAAACCCACTACAACATCTTTGATGTTGCAGTCGCGGCACTTGAGAGTTTTGGGGTTTGGTCTGGGGCAAGGGTTGGTGGTGCTTGACAATCACATACTGCAACTTTTCCAGATCGAACTGCTTCCCTTCTCGTTTTTACTAGGTGATTCATGGCTGCCTAGCCAAATTACCAGAATATCCCCTCACACTGATTTCGTCATAATCGGCGACTCAGATCTTGGTTATGAACGTGCTTTACCATTCTGGAAAGTAGAGATTAAGACCTTTCCAACGCATATAAGCTCATTTCTAGAAATTACCTGAGTTGCACGCAATGTTCTGTTGAGATCGTCAAACTTAATCTCTAACTAGTTCTCTCCAGATTTGCACGATTTCCATCACTCTTCGCTTCGCTTCGCTTCGCTTCGCTTCGCTTCGCTTCGCTTTGCTTCGCTTCGCTTCGCTTCGCTTAGCTTTGCTTTGTTAGGATTAAGGACAGAGTCTAGGTGAACTTAGGAGCTAGAATTACTCCAAATATAAATCCGAAATTCTGGACAGAAAAGTCGTCTTCACAAGAAACGACGTCGACAAAACACTAGCCGTTGGAATGTCGCGAAACTTGGATATGTTGTAGCTCTTGATCTCAGCTACCGTTCCCAATTTGAATCACGTTGATTGATGAAGTATTCGCGACGCTATGGCTTTCGACGCACTAGGGGGTAAGCTGTAGGAGGAGAACTTAACTCAATCTCAAGAGTTCAATCAAAGTTCAAGAATCTCACAAGGAATTAGAAGGAGCAAGAGAAAGGTTGGGATAGAAGAGAGGGATGAGAGGGAAGGTCCCAAGAGAGTCCCCAACCAAGGAAACCCCATAAGCACAAAGATTCCCTCCCTATAGGAACCCCAACTTTGACATTTGTCCCTTCCCAACCAATCCATCCAAGTTGGCCACCCTTGCCAACCTAGCTTGGTTGTTCCCAACCAATTTGCAGCTGTTACAGTAGAGTGACGAATTTCCCCAACCCCAAAGGTCCCAACTCCATATAAAGTCACCCCACAACTTCACTTAGTAACCGCCGCAATTGTAACGCAAGCTCATGAACTTTGAATCTTCATAGCTTTCGCGTTCTTGCTCCGATTGAAGCGATTCTTGTTGCGTCGGAAAGATCTTCTCAAGATCTATTATCAAAATACCTGCTCAGACAGAATAACACAAAACACATTCCCAAACTCCAGAACACACACCACACAAATTCTTTCACACACAGTCAAACCATACGTGCGAATTGAAACAAGGGATGGGAGGCAGACAGAATGTGATAACATATGATGACATCACACAACAATCTCCCCCTCTGGCTGCCAACCATCATCGACCATACCACATCTCAAGCATGCATACTCAATGCACACTCATCCCAGCAAGCTTCATGCCCTTCCAATGATCCGCCTCCGCCAGACGCTTAGTGAAAATATCTGCTGCCTGCTGATGGGTCTTCACTATCTCCAGCCGCACCTCCTTATCAAGGAGTCTCCTCACCCAGTGCCACTTAGGCCTTATGTGTTTTGTCAGCCCATGCAGACAAGCATTCTTGGCGAGCTTCACAGCAGACTCATTGTCACAGAACACAACTGTCGGCTCCTCCTGACCAACTCCCAACTCCTCCAACAAACGCCTTAGCCACACTACTTCCTTGGCCCCATGGTGTAAGGCCATGTACTCAGTCTCACATGAGGACAATCCCACCTCATTCTGCTTCTTGCTGCGCCAGCTCACAGCACCACCTCCTAGCAAGCACACATAACCCCAATGCTGGTGCCATCCGCTTTCACTGAGTTGAAGCTAGCGTCAGTATAGCAACTCAAGAGCATCTCTCCACTCTTCACATCTGCAGCACCTCTCTGCAACCGCTGCCTCACTCCACTGTACTCCAATCCCACTGATGCCGTAGCACTCACATAGCGGACCAACCTCTTGGCCGCTTCCAGCTGCTCATGACTAGGGCGTGAGACCACACTAGCCAACCGTGATGTAGAAAATGCAATGTCAGGCCGTGTATGATTTGCAGCATAATTCAGCGACCCAACCATCGAATGAAACAGCTTCCTGTTGTTAGAATTAAGGACGGAGTCTAGGTGAACTTAGGAGCTAGAATTACTCAAAATATATATCCGAAATTCTGGACAGAAAAGTCGTCTTCACAAGAAACGACGTCGACAAAAACCTAGCCGTTGGAATGTCGCGAAACTTGGATATGTTGTAGCTCTTAATCTCAGCTACCGTTCCCAATTTGAATCACGTTGATTGATGAAGTATTCGCGACGCTATGGCTTTCGACGCACTAGGGGGTAAGCTGTAGGAGGAGAACTTAACTCAATCTCAAGAGTTCAATGAAAGTTCAAGAATCTCACAAGGAATTTGAGGAGCAAGAGAAATGTTGGGATAGAAGAGAGGGATGAGAGGGAAGGTCCCAAGAGAGTCCTCAACCAAGGAAACCCCATAAGCACAAAGATTCCCTCCCTATAGGAACCCCAACTTTGACATTTGTCCCTTCCCAACCAATCCATCCAAGTTGGCCACCCTTGCCAACCTAGCTTGGTTGTTCCCAACCAATTTGCAGCTGTTACAGTGAGTGACAAATTTCCCCAACCCCCAAAGGTCCCAACTCCATATAGAGTCACCCCACAACTTCACTTTGTAACCGCCGCAATTGTAACGCAAGCTCATGAACTTTGAATCTTCATAGCTTTCGCGTTCTTGCTCCGATTGAAGGGATTCTCGTTGCGTCGGAAAGATCTTCTCAAGATCTATCATCACAAAAAACCTGCTCAAACAAAATAACACAAAACACATTCCCAAACTCCAGAACACATCACACACAAATTCTTGCACACGTTCAAACCACACATGCAAGTTGAAAAAAATATGGGATGGGAGGCAGACAGAATGTGATAGCATATGATGACATCACACAACAATCTCCCCCTCTGGCTGCCAACCATCATCCACCATACCAACATCTCAAGCATGCATACTCAATGCACACTCATCCCAGCAAGCTTCATGCCCTTCCAATGATCCGCCTCCGCCAGACGCTTGGTGAAAATATCTGCTGCCTGCTGATGGGTCTTCACTATCTCCAGCCGCACCTCCTTATCAAGGAGTCTCCTCACCCAGTGCCACTTAGGCCTTATGTGTTTTGTCAGCCCATGCAGACAAGCATTCTTGGCGAGCTTCACAGCAGACTCATTGTCACAGAACACAACTGTCGGCTCCTCCTGACCAACTCCCAACTCCTCTAACAAGCGCATCAGCCACACCACTTCCTTGGCCCCATGGTGTAAGGCCATGTACTCAGTCTCACATGAGGACAATCCCACCTCATTCTGCTTCTTGCTGCGCCAGCTCACAGCACCACCTCCTAGCAAGCACACATAACCCCCAATGCTGGTGCCATCCGCTTTCACTGAGTTGAAGCTAGCGCCAGTATAGCAACTCAAGAGCATCTCTCCACTCTTCACATCTGCAGCACCTCTCTGCAACCGCTGCCTCACTCCACTGTACTCCAATCCCACTGATGCCGTAGCGCTCACATAGCGGACCAACCTCTTGGCCGCTTCCAGCTGCTCATGACTAGGGCGTGAGACCACACTAGCCAATCGTGATGTAGCAAATGCAATGTCAGGCCGTGTATGATTTGCAGCAATATTCAGCGACCCAACCATCGAATGAAACAGCTTCCTGTCACTATCACCCACTACCTCCTCATCAGCACATGGCTCCACAGTGAACCCCGAAGGTAGTGGTGTTGCTGGCTTTCCCCCATCTTGCAGCCCATACTTCTCAGCCAGCCCCTCACAGTACTTCCTCTGGTGCAACCTCAGCACACCCTTCTCCACATCTCTCTCCACAGGCATCCCCAAGTAGTACTTCACCTCACCCATCTTGGAACACTTGAACTGCATCTCCAGCATCTGCTCTGCACTGTCCAGCAAAGCAGTTGATGCAGAAAAGAGAAGGATATCATCCACGTACACCAAGAGCATGAGGATTTCATCCTTCTCCTGCAGCAGGAACAGGCTGGGGTCACACTCACTCTTCTTGAAACCCCCAGCCAACAGCGCCTCCTCCAACTTGTGATACCATGCACGAGGCGCCTGCTTAAGGCCATAGATGGCCTTCTTCAGCCTGCAGACCCTGCCGCTCCCATCATCCAGCCCCTCTGGCTGCTTCATGTACACCTCCTCCAGAATGATCCCATTCAGAAAGGCAGTCACAATGTCCATCTGCCGTATCTTCCATCCCAGGAGTGCAGCTATCGCCAACAGCACCCTCAGTGTTGTTCCTTTCCCCACAGGAGCAAACACCTCATCATAGTCCTTCCCCTTTGTCTGCTGAAACCCCCGTGCCACAAGCCTAGACTTGTAGCGGGTCAGCTCCCCTTCAGGTCCATACTTGTGCCTGTAGATCATCTTGGAAGTGATTGCCTTCTTTCCAGGAGGCAAGTCACACAGGTCCCATGTCTCGTTCTCAATTAGGGACCCGAACTCCTCATCCTCACTCGCCTTCCACTTCTCCCCATTTGGTCCATTCAAGGCCTCCTCTCGAGTCTTGGGCTCAGGGATTGGTGCCCAGTAGCAGTGAGCGATCTCATCTTCCTCAATCTGCTCAACCACACTCCCAGCCTGCACCACATTCGGCTTGCCTCTTCCCCCATAGGTCAGCCTCACAGGAGGGCGCACATCCCTCCTAGGACGCTCAGGCGGGTGTGGAACTCGAGGTGGAGATTCATGCTGCTGCTGCTGCTCCACCTCAGCTGCTCCCCCTTCCTCAGTCACCCCAGACATCTCCTCCTCTGACACTGCAACCTCCACCTGTCTTGAAGGCTGCTGCAACTCATCTGCCTCCACAATGAGTGGTGTAGATGGAAGCTTCTGTTGCTGCTGCTTCCATTCCTTATAGTACAGGGACTCAAGAAACTTCACATCCCTTGACACTGTCAGCTTCTGGGTGGTCAGGTCCCATAGCAGCCACCCCTTGTGATCCTTTGCAATCCCCAAGTGCACACCCCATCTTCCAGAAGCCTCCAACTTCCCCCTTTTCTCCTTGGGCACATGAAACACCACCATGCACCCAAATGCCCTCAGCATGTTCACCGCTGGAGCACTCCCATACCACTTGGCATATGGGATCCACTCCTTATCTCCAACTGTAGCCAGCACCCTATTCTTCACAAGGGCGACCTGCCTCAGTGCAGACACCCAAAACGGATCAGGCAGCCCTGCACGCCCAAGGAGAGTGCGTGCCCCCTCCTGCAGGGTCCTGTTGAACCTCTCAGCCACGCCATTCTGCTGCGGGTTGTAGGGCACTGTCAGTTGATGCTGGATCCCCTTCCTCTTCAACTCCCCCTCAAAATCAGCTCCAATGAACTCCCCACCATTGTCACTACGGATCACCTTCACCTTGTGTCCGCATTCCCTCTGAGCTCTCGGCATCCACTCCTTAAGGACAGCCGCTGCCACCTCCCCCTTGCTCTTCAAAGGGTAAACCCACACTGCCCGAGTGTGGTCATCCACAATTGTCAAGAAATAGCGGCTGCCTGAGAGGGAAGGGGCTCTTGTGGGCCCCACCACATCCATATGCACAAGTGCAAGTGGGGTCTTGGCTGGTCCTGTAGTGCTGTTGAAGGGGAACTTGGAGAACTTGGTCTCCAAGCATGTAGGGCAGCTCCCAATCTCCTTCACTCCCCCTTTCACCTCCAAGCCCTTCAGGCTCCCATCCTTCACCAACTTCTGCAGCATAGGGAAGTTCACATGACACAGCCTCTCATGCCATGTCTCCCAATCGGCCTCTCCACTCCTTGGTGAAGCCTTAGCCCATGCCGCATTTGCATCCACACCAGCAAGCACCTCACCATGTGTCTGCTGCTGCTGCACTTTCTTGACTGCTTCCAGGACCCCATCAGTTGGTGCAGTTGCATCTCCTCCTGCTGTTGCCTTTGCCGCTGCTGCCGTTGCTGCTGTTGGAGTCTTCCCATTCCATGGGATGATGGGCAGCTGCCACAGGTCCTTGATGCAGCTGGTCTCCTCTTCCAAACTCCACAGCACCTTCTTCCCAAGCTTAGCACGGCAGCTGGTTGGTCCAAATGTCACTTCGGCCTTGCTCTTCTGCAGTCGTCGCACAGAGAGAAGGTTAGCAGACAAGCCTTCAACCAGCAGAACATTCCCAAGCCCCACAAGCTCCCCATTTGCTCCCTTAACCTTGGCATTCCCAACACCAATGACAGGGAGCAAAGCACCTGACGCTGCTGCCACATACTTGATCTTCCCAGGGGGTTTTACCTCATCAAGCAAATCTGCCCGTGGAGTCATGTGACTGGTGCAACCCGAATCAATCACCCAGTGCATGAGAGGGTGCATCACAACCTTTCCGACAGATCCCACATCACCCTCATGCCCATGCACATCCTCAACCATGAGATACATCCCAGGATAGGCGTTACCTTGTGCACCTTCACCTTGTGCACCTGAGCCTTGCACAGCGCCACCTTGTGCGCGTTCACCACTTGGCGGCTTCATGCCTGGAGGTGACCATCCCTCCAGCCTGCTGAAGCACTTGAACCAAGGATGCCCGACCTTCTTGCAGTACCAGCAGGTGCCCTCCATTCTGGTACTCCCCCTGCCACTGGAGCTCCCATGCCCCTCATTATAGTCACCTCGGCCTCTACCTCTGCCAAAGCTTCTCCCACGGCCTCGGCCTCTCCAACCCCCTCTTCCTCTGCTGCGCCCTGCAGCTCCATACCCCTCAGCAGTCTTAGTGGCAGCACCGCCTCCCACATGGCGTCTGCGGAAGTCCTCCTGCAGAATCTGCTGCCTTAGCCACTCAGGTGTCCATTGATCTTGCTGAGAGTTGAGGGTGGGGATGAGGTTATCCCACGAGTTGTCCAACACCGAGATGATCTTGGTGCACTGCTGCAGCTGAGATACACTGCTGCCCGCTGCTGCCATCCTTGCATAGGTGTCCTTGATCTTGTCAAGGACCGGCTTCACATCGTCCCCTGGTCGCATGGAGATGGCAGCAAGTTCCTTCTCGAGCACGATCACCATCGGGAGAGTGTTGGGCTGAACCACATCACGTAGTAGTTTCCACGCCCTTGGACCCGAATCATCCGCTTCCACAAGATCCTTGATGTGCTCGAACATCTCCTTGTTGACCGATTGAAGAATGAGGTCGAAAAGCACCGCGCTTTTCTCAATCCACCGTTCACGTGCTTCGCCTTCTTCCGGCATCTTCTCTTCCCCAACAGCAATCTTCAGTAGCTTGTAGCGTTTGAAGGCACTCCTCATCCGTCCGCTCCATTCCTCATAGTTGGAGCCATCCAAAGCTTCAACCTTTGATGGCGGCGGCTCACTTGTCTTCTCAGGTACAGCTCCTCTTCCATTAGCATCTCCTCCTCTCTCATTCATCTTCTCCTTGAGAAATGACGAATTTCAGCTCCCCTTTGCTGTCCACACTCAGCTCCCTCGATATTTTCACAAGTGTCGGCGTCCACGAAATTTCGGCAGAGTTTCCCCTTAGCGGAAGACACATCCAACCTTTAGAACACCACTTAGGCACACCCACAGGCCATGGTGGGTCTAGAAGGGTCTTCAAACTTCTGTAGACTCCTCTCAATGTCCTTAATATTGCTCTGATACCACTTGTTAGAATTAAGGACGGAGTCTAGGTGAACTTAGGAGCTAGAATTACTCAAAATATATATCCGAAATTCTGGACAGAAAAGTCGTCTTCACAAGAAACGACGTCGACAAAAACCTAGCCGTTGGAATGTCGCGAAACTTGGATATGTTGTAGCTCTTAATCTCAGCTACCGTTCCCAATTTGAATCACGTTGATTGATGAAGTATTCGCGACGCTATGGCTTTCGACGCACTAGGGGGTAAGCTGTAGGAGGAGAACTTAACTCAATCTCAAGAGTTCAATGAAAGTTCAAGAATCTCACAAGGAATTTGAGGAGCAAGAGAAATGTTGGGATAGAAGAGAGGGATGAGAGGGAAGGTCCCAAGAGAGTCCTCAACCAAGGAAACCCCATAAGCACAAAGATTCCCTCCCTATAGGAACCCCAACTTTGACATTTGTCCCTTCCCAACCAATCCATCCAAGTTGGCCACCCTTGCCAACCTAGCTTGGTTGTTCCCAACCAATTTGCAGCTGTTACAGTGAGTGACAAATTTCCCCAACCCCCAAAGGTCCCAACTCCATATAGAGTCACCCCACAACTTCACTTTGTAACCGCCGCAATTGTAACGCAAGCTCATGAACTTTGAATCTTCATAGCTTTCGCGTTCTTGCTCCGATTGAAGGGATTCTCGTTGCGTCGGAAAGATCTTCTCAAGATCTATCATCACAAAAAACCTGCTCAAACAAAATAACACAAAACACATTCCCAAACTCCAGAACACATCACACACAAATTCTTGCACACGTTCAAACCACACATGCAAGTTGAAAAAAATATGGGATGGGAGGCAGACAGAATGTGATAGCATATGATGACATCACACAACACCTGTCACTCTCACCCACTACCTCCTCATCAGCACATGGCTCCACAGTAAACCCTGAAGGTAGTGGTGTTGCTGGCTTTCCCCCATCTTGCAGCCCATACTTCTCAGCCAGCCCCTCACAGTACTTCCTCTGGTGCAACCTCAGCACACCCTTTTCCACATCTCTCTCCACGTGCATCCCCAAGTAGTACTTCACCTCACCCATCTTGGAGCACTTGAACTGCATCTCCAGCATCTGCTCTGCGCTGTCCAGCAAAGCAGTGGATGCAGAAAAGAGAAGGATATCATCCACATACACCAAGAGCATGAGGATTTCATCCTTCTCCTGCAGCAGGAACAGGCTGGGGTCACACTCACTCTTCTTGAAACCCCCAGCCAACAGCGCCTCCTCCAACTTGTGATACCATGCACGAGGCGCCTGCTTAAGGCCATAGATGGCCTTCTTCAGCCTGCAGACCCTGCCGCTCCCGTCATCCAGCCCCTCTGGCTGCTTCATGTACACCTCCTCCAGAATGATCCCATTCAGAAAGGCAGTCACAATGTCCATCTGCCGAATCTTCCATCCCAGGAGTGCAGCTATCGCCAACAGCACCCTCAATGTTGTTCCTTTCCCCACAGGAGCAAACACCTCATCATAGTCCTTCCCCTTTGTCTGCTGAAACCCCCGTGCCACAAGCCTAGACTTGTAGCGGGTCAGCTCCCCTTCAGGTCCATACTTGTGCCTGTAGATCATCTTGGAAGTGATTGCCTTCTTTCCAGGAGGCAAGTCACACAGGTCCCATGTCTCGTTCTCAATTAGGGACCCGAACTCCTCATCCTCACTCGCCTTCCACTTCTCCCCATTTGGTCCATTCAAGGCCTCTTCTCGAGTCTTGGGCTCAGGGATTGGTGCCCAGTAGCAGTGAGCGATCTCATCATGCTTCGCTTAGCTTAGCTTCACAACATGCTTCGCTTAGCTTCGCTTCGCATCGATTAGCTTCGCTTAGCTTCGCTTCGCCTTAATAAGCTTCGCTTCGCTTCGCTTTGCTTAGCATCGCTTAGCTTCGCTTCGCTTAGCTTCGCTTAGCTTCTCTTCGCTTAGCTTCGCTTCGCTTGGCTTCGCTTAGCTTCCCTTAGCTTTGCTTAGCTTCGCTTAGCTTCACTTAGCTTCGCTTTGCTTCGCTCAGCTTCGCTTGGCTTCGCTTAGCTTCGCTTGGCTTCGCTTAGCTTCGCTTCGCTTTGCTTAGATTCGCTTAGTTTTGCTTAGCTTCGCTTCGCTTCGCTTAGCTTCGCTTAGCTTCCCTTCGCTTTGCTTAGCTTCGCTTTGCTTCCCTTAGCTTCGCTTAGCTTTGCTTAGCTTCGCTTCTTTTTGCTTAGCTTTGCCTAGCTTTGCTTAGCTTTGCTTCGCTTAGCTTCGCTTCGCATCGATTAGCTTCGCTTCGCTTCGCTTAGCTTCGCTTCGCTTAGCTTCGCTTCGCCTTGATAAGCTTTGCTTCGCTTCGCTTTGCTTAGTATCGCTTCGCTTAGCTTCGCTAAACTTCGCTTCGCTTAGCTTCGCTTCGCTTGGCTTTGCTTAGCTTCGCTTGGCTTCGCTTAGCTTCCCTTCGCTTTGCTTAGCTTCGCTTAGCTTCGCTTAGCTTTGCTTGGCTTCGTTTGGCATCGCTTACCTTCGCTTCGCTTAGCTTTGCTTGGCTTTGCTTAGCTCCGCTTTGCTTTGATAGCTTCGCTTAGCTTCCCTTCGCTTCTCTTAGCTTCGCTTTGCATCCCTTAGCTTCGCTTAGCTTCGCTTCGCTTCTCTTAGCTTTGCTAAGCTTCGCTTCGCTTTACATCGCTTCTCTTCGCTTCGCTTCGCTTCGCTTCGCTTCTCTTCGCTTCTCTTCGCTTCGCTTCGCTTAGCTTCGCTTCGCTTTGATTAGCTTCGCTTAGCTTCGCTTCGCTTCGCTTAGCTTCGCTTCGCTTTGATTAGCTTTGCTTCGCTTCTCTTCGCCTCGCTTTGCTTCGCTTCGCTTTGCTTAGCATCGCTTAGCTTTGCTTCGCTTAGCTTCGCTTCGCATAGCTTCGCTTCGCTTAGCTTCGCTTTGCTTCCCTTAGCTTTGCTTAGATTCGCTTAGCTTCGCTTGGCTTCGCTTAGCTTCACTTCGCTTAGCTTCGCTTCGCTTTGCTTAGCTTTGCTTAGTTTTGCTAAGCTTCACTTAGCTTCGCTTCGCTTGGCTTCGCTTTGCATGGCTTTGCTTAGCTTCGCTTAGCTTCGCTTAGCTTCCCTTTGCTTCACTTAGCTTCGCTTTGCTTCCCTTAGCTTCGCCTAGCTTCGCTTAGCTTCGCTTCTATTTGCTTAGCTTCGCTTAGCTTCGCTTAGCTTCGCTTGGCCTCGCTTGGCCTCGCTTAGCTTCGCTTCGCTTGGCTTCGCTTTGCTTGGCTTCGCTTAGCTTTGCTTCGCTTCGCTTAGGTTCGCTTTGCTTCTCTTAGCTTCCCTTCGCTTCTCTTAACTTCGCTTCGCTTAGCTTTGCTTTGCTTCGCTTCGCTTCCCTTAGCTTCGCTTAGCTTTGCTTCACTTCGCTTAGCTTCGCTTTGCTTCCCTTAGCTTTGCTTCGCTACGCTTAGCTTCGCTTCGCTTCTCTTAACTTCGCTTCGCTTTGCTTCGTTTGGCTTTGCTTCGCTTCGCTTGGCTTTGCTTCACTTCGCTTAGCTTCGATTCCCATCGCTTAGCTTCGCTTCGCTTCCCTTAGCTTCGCTTCTCTTTGCTTAGCTTCACTTAGCTTCGCTTCGCTTCACTTAGCTTCACTTGGCTTTGCTTGGCTTTGCTTAGCTTCACTTCGCTTCGCTTCTCTTAGCTTCGCTACGCTTTGCTTAGCTTCGCTTAGTTTCGCTTAGCTTCCCTTCGCTTCTCTTAGCTTTGCTAAGCTTCGCTTCGCTTCACATCGCTTCTCTTCGCTTCGCTTCGCTTCGCTTCTCTTCGCTTCGCTTCGCTTAGCTTCGCTTCGCTTTGATTAGCTTCGCTTTGCTTCGCTTAGCTTCGCTTCGCTTTGCTTAGCTTCGCTTCGCTTTGATTAGCTTCGCTTTGCTTCGCTTAGCTTCGCTTCGCTTTGCTTAGCTTCGCTTCGCTTTGATTAGCTTTGCTTCGCTTCTCTTCGCCTCGCTTTGCTTCGCTTCGCTTTGCTTAGCATCGCTTAGCTTTGCTTCGCTTAGCTTCGCTTCGCTTAGCTTCGCTTCGCTTAGCTTCGGTTTGCTTCCCTTAGCTTTGCTTAGATTCGCTTAGCTTCGCTTGGCTTCGCTTAGCTTCACTTCGCTTAGCTTCGCTTTGCTTTGCTTAGCTTTGCTTAGTTTTGCTAAGCTTCACTTAGCTTCGCTTCGCTTGGCTTCGCTTTGCATGGCTTTGCTTAGCTTCGCTTAGCTTCGCTTAGCTTCCCTTTGCTTCACTTAGCTTCGCTTTGCTTCCCTTAGCTTCGCCTAGCTTCGCTTAGCTTCGCTTCTATTTGCTTAGCTTCGCTTAGCTTCGCTTGGCTTCGCTTGGCCTCGCTTGGCCTCGCTTAGCTTCGCTTCGCTTGGCTTCGCTTTGCTTTGTTGTGTGATGTCATCATATGCTATCACATTCTGTCTGCCTCCCATCCCATGTTTTTTCAACTTGCATGTGTGGTTTGAATGTGCAAGCATTTGTGTGGTGTGTGTTCTGGAGTTTGGGAATGTGTTCTGTGTTATTTTTTGTTTGAGCAGGTATTTGTGATGATAGATCTTGAGAAGATCTTTCTGACGCAACAAGAATCGCTTCAATCGGAGCAAGAACGCGAAAGCTATGAAGATTCAAAGTTCATGAGCTTGCGTTACAATTGCGGCGGTTACTAAGTGAAGTTGTGGGGTGACTTTATATGGAGTTGGGACCTTTGGGGTTGGGGAAACTTGTCACTCTACTGTAACAGCTGCAAATAGGTTGGGAACAACCAAGCTAGGTTGGCAAGGGTGGCCAACTTGGATGGATTGGTTGGGAAGGGACAAAGGTCAAAGTTGAGGTTCCTATAGGGAGGGAATCTTTGTGCTTATGGGGTTTCCTTGGTTGGGGACTCTCTTGGGACCTTCCCTCTCATCCCTCTCTTCCTATCCCAACCTTTCTCTTGCTCCTTCTAATTCCTTGTGAGATTCTTGAACTTTGATTGAACTTTTGAGATTGAGTTAAGTTCTCCTCCTACAGCTTACCCCCTAATGCGTCGAAAGCCATAGCGTCGCGAATACTTCATTAATCAACGTGATTCAAATTGGGAACGGTAGCTGAGATTAAGAGCTACAACATATCCGAGTTTCGTGACATTCCAACGGCTAGTTTTTCGTCAACGTCGTTTCTTGTGAAGACGACTTTTCTGTCCAGAATTTCGGATTTATATTTTGAGTAATTCTAGTTCCTAAGTTCACCTAGACTCCGTCCTTAATCCTAACAAAGTGGTATCAGAGCGATATTAAGGACAGTGAGAGGAGTCTACAGAAGTTTGAAGACCCTTCTAGACCCACCATGGCCTGTGGGTGTGCCTAAGTGGTGTTCTAAAGGTTGGATGTGTCTTCCGCTAAGGGGAAACTCTGCCGAAATTTCGTGGACGCCGACACTTGTGAAAATATCGAGGGAGCTGAGTGTGGACAGCAAAGGGGAGCTGAAATTCGTCATTTCTCAAGGAGAAGATGAATGAGAGAGGAGGAGATGCTAATGGAAGAGGAGCTGTACCTGAGAAGCCAAGTGAGCCGCCGCCATCAAAAGTTGAAGCTTTGGATGGCTCCAACTATGAGGAATGGAGCGGGCAGACGAGGAGTGCCTTCAAACGCTACAAGCTCCTGAAGATTGCTGTTGGGGAAGAGAAGATGCCGGAAGAAGGCGAAGCACGCGAACGGTGGATTGAGAAAAGCGCGGTGCTTTTCGACCTCATTCTTCAATCGGTCAACAAGGAGATGTTCGAGCACATCAAGGATCTTGTGGAAGCGGATGATTCGGGTCCAAGGGCGTGGAAACTACTACGTGATGTGATTCAGCCCAACACTCTCCCAATGGTGATCGTGCTCGAGAAGGAACTTGCTGCCATCTCCATGCGACCAGGGGATGATGTGAAGCCGGTCCTTGACAAGATCAAGGACACCTATGCAAGGATGGCAGCAGCGGGCAGCAGTGTATCTCAGCTGCAGCAGTGCACCAAGATCATCTCGGTGTTGGACAACTCTTGGGACAACCTCATCCCCACCCTCAACTCTCAGCAAGATCAATGGACACCTGAGTGGCTAAGGCAGCAGATTCTGCAGGAGGACTTCCGCAGACGCCATGTGGGAGGCGGTGCTGCCACTAAGACTGCTGAGGGGTATGGAGCTGCAGGGCGCGGCAGAGGAAGAGGGGGTTGGAGAGGCCGAGGCCGTGGGAGGAGCTTTGGCAGAGGTAGAGGCCGAGGTGACTATAATGAGGGGCATGGAAGCTCCAGTGGCAGGGGGAGTACCAGAATGGAGGGCACCTGCTGGTACTGCAAGAAGATAGGGCATCCTTGGTTCAAGTGCTTCAGCAGGCCGGAGGGATGGGCACCTCCAGGCATGAAGCCGCCCAGTGGTGAACGCGCACAAGGTGGCGCTGTGCAAGGCTCAGGTGCACAAGGCTCAGGTGCACAAGGTGAAGGTGCACAAGGTAACGCCTATCCTGGGATGTATCTCATGGTTGAGGATGTGCATGGGCATGAGGGTCATGTGGGATCTGTCGGAAAGGTTGTGATGCACCCTCTCACGCACTGGGTGATTGATTCAGGTTGCACCAGTCACATGACCCCACGGGCAGATTTGCTTGATGAGGTAAAACCCCCCGGGAAGATTAAGTATGTGGCAGCAGCATCAGGTGCTTTGCTCCCTGTGATTGGTGTTGGGAATGCCAAGGTTAAGGGAGCTAATAGGGAGCTTGTGGGGCTTGGGAATGTTCTGCTGGTTAAAGGCTTGTCTGCTAACCTTCTCTCTGTGCGGCGACTGCAGAAGAGTAAGGCCGAAGTGACCTTTGGACCAACCAGCTGCCGTGCTAAGCTTGGGAAGAAGGTGCTGTGGAGTCTGGAAGAGGAGACCAGCTGCATCAAGGACCTGTGGCAGCTGCCCATCATCCCTTGGAATGGGACGACTCCAACAGCAGCAACGGCAGCAGCGGCAAAGGCAACAGCAGGAGGAGATGCAACTGCACCAACTGATGGGGTCCTGGAAGCAGTCAAGAAAGTGCAGAAGCAGCAGACACATGGTGAGGTGCTTGCTGGTGTGGATGCGAGTGCGGCATGGGCTAAGGCTTCATCAAGGAGTGGAGAGGCCGATTGGGAGACATGGCATGAGAGGTTGTGTCATGTGAACTTCCCTATGCTGCAGAAGTTGGTGAAGAATGGGAGCCTGAAGGGCTTGGAGGTGAAAGGGGAAGTGAAGGAGATTGGGAGCTGCCCTACATGCTTGGAGACCAAGTTCTCCAAGTTCCCCTTCAACAGTGCAACAGGACCAGCCAAGACCCCACTTGCACTTGTGCACATGGATGTGGTGGGGCCCACCAGAGCCCCTTCCCTCTCAGGCAGCCGCTATTTCTTGACAATTGTGGATGACCACACTCGGGCAGTGTGGGTTTACCCTTTGAAGAGCAAGGGGGAGGTGGCAGCGGCTGTCCTTAAGGAGTGGATGCCTAGAGCTCAGAGGGAATGCGGACACAAGGTGAAGGTGATCAGCAGTGACAATGGTGGGGAGTTCATTGGAGCTGATTTTGAGGGGGAGTTGAAGAGGAAGGGGATCCAGCATCAACTAACAGTGCCCTACAATCCGCAGCAGAATGGCGTGGCTGAGAGGTTCAACAGGACCCTGCAGGAGGGGGCACGCACTCTCCTTGGGCGTGCAGGGCTGCCTGATCCGTTTTGGGTGTCTGCACTGAGGCAGGTCGCCCTTGTGAAGAATAAGGTGCTGGCTACAGTTGGGGATAAGGAGTGGATCCCATATACCAAGTGGTATGGGAGTGCTCCAGCTGTGAATATGCTGAGGGCATTTGGGTGCATGGTAGTGTTTCATGTGCCTAAGGAGAAAAGAGGGAAGTTTGAGGCTTCTGGAAGATGGGGTGTGCACTTGGGGATTGCAAAGGATCACAAGGGATGGCTGCTATGGGACTTGACCACCCAGAAGCTGACAGTGTCAAGGGATGTGAAGTTTCTTGAGTCCCTGTACTATAAGGAATGGAAGCAGCAGCAACAGAAGCTTCCATCTACACCACTCATTGTGGAGGCAGATGAGTTGCAGCAGCCTTCAAGGCAGGTGGAGGTTGCAGTGTCTGAGGAGGAGATGTCTGGGGTGACTGAAGAAGGGGGAGCAGCTGAAGTGGAGCAGCAGCAGCAACATGAGTCTCCACCTCGAGTTCCACACCCGCCTGAGCGACCTAGGAGGGATGTGCGCCCTCCTGTGAGGCTGACCTATGGGGGAAGAGGCAAGCCAAATGTGGTGCAGGCTGGGAGTGTGGTTGAGCAGATTGAGGAAGATGAGATCGCTCACTGCTACTGGGCACCAATCCCTGAGCCCAAGACTCGAGAGGAGGCCTTGAATGGACCAAATGGGGAGAAGTGGAAGGCGAGTGAGGATGAGGAGTTCGGGTCCCTGATTGAAAACGAGACATGGGACCTGTGTGACTTGCCTCCTGGGAAGAAGGCAATCACTTCCAAGATGATCTACAGGCACAAGTATGGACCTGAAGGGGAGCTGACCCGCTACAAGTCTAGGCTTGTGGCAAGGGGGTTTTAGCAGACAAAAGGGAAGAACTATGATGAGGTGTTTGCTCCTGTGGGGAAAGGAACAACACTGAGGGTGCTGTTAGCGATAGCTGCACTCCTGGGATGGAAGATACGGCAGATGGACATTGTGACTGCCTTTCTGAATGGGATCATTCTGGAGGAGGTGTACATGAAGCAGCCAGAGGGGCTGGATGATGGGAGCGGCAGGGTCTGCAGGCTGAAGAAGGCCATCTATGGCCTTAAGCAGGCGCCTCGTGCATGGTATCACAAGTTGGAGGAGGCGCTGCTGGCTGGGGGTTTCAAGAAGAGTGAGTGTGACCCCAGCCTGTTCCTGCTGCAGGAGAAGGACGAAATCCTCATGCTCTTGGTGTATGTGGATGATATCCTTCTCTTTTCTGCATCAACTGCTTTGCTGGACAGCGCAGAGCAGATGCTGGAGATGCAGTTCAAGTGCTCCAAGATGGGTGAGGTGAAGTACTACCTGGGGATGCATGTGGAGAGAGATGTGGAGAAGGGTGTGCTGAGGTTGCACCAGAGGAAGTACTGTGAGGGGCTGGCTGAAAAGTATGGGCTGCAAGATGGGGGAAAGCCAGCAACACCACTACCTTCGGGGTTTACTGTGGAGCCATGTGCTGATGAGGAGGTAGTGGGTGAGAGTGACAGGAAGCTGTTTCATTCGATGGTTGGGTCGCTGAATTATGCTGCAAATCATACACGGCCTGACATTGCATTTGCTACATCACGACTGGCTAGCGTGGTCTCACGCCCTAGTCATGAGCAGCTGGAAGCGGCCAAGAGGTTGGTCCGCTATGTGAGTGCTACGGCATCAGTGGGATTGGAGTACAGTGGAATGAGGCAGCGGTTGCAGAGAGGTGCTGCAGATGTGAAGAGTGGTGAGATGCTCTTGAGTTGCTATACTGACGCTAGCTTCAACTCAGTGAAAGCGGATGGCACCAGCATTGGGGGTTATGTGTGCTTGCTGGGAGGTGGTGCTGTGAGCTGGCGCAGCAAGAAGCAGAATGAGGTGGGATTGTCTTCATGTGAGACTGAGTACATGGCCTTACACCATGGGGCCAAGGAAGTGGTATGGCTGAGGCGTTTGTTGGAGGAGTTGGGAGTTGGTCAGGAGGAGCCGACAGTTGTGTTCTGTGACAATGAGTCTGCAGTGAAGCTGGCCAAGAATGCTTGTCTGCATGGGCTGACAAAACACATAAGGCCTAAGTGGCATTGGGTGAGGAGAATCCTTGAAAAGGAGGTGCGGCTGGAGATAGTGAAGACCCATCAGCAGGCAGCAGATATTTTCACTAAGCGTCTGGCGGAGGCGGATCATTGGAAGGGCATGAAGCTTGCTGGGATGAGTGTGCATTGAGTATGCATGCTTGAGATGTGGTATGGTCGATGATGGTTGGCAGCCAGAGGGGGAGATTGTTGTGTGATGTCATCATATGCTATCACATTCTGTCTGCCTCCCATCCCATGTTTTTTCAACTTGCATGTGTGGTTTGAATGTGCAAGCATTTGTGTGGTGTGTGTTCTGGAGTTTGGGAATGTGTTCTGTGTTATTTTTTGTTTGAGCAGGTATTTGTGATGATAGATCTTGAGAAGATCTTTCTGACGCAACAAGAATCGCTTCAATCGGAGCAAGAACGCGAAAGCTATGAAGATTCAAAGTTCATGAGCTTGCGTTACAATTGCGGCGGTTACTAAGTGAAGTTGTGGGGTGACTTTATATGGAGTTGGGACCTTTGGGGTTGGGGAAACTTGTCACTCTACTGTAACAGCTGCAAATAGGTTGGGAACAACCAAGCTAGGTTGGCAAGGGTGGCCAACTTGGATGGATTGGTTGGGAAGGGACAAAGGTCAAAGTTGAGGTTCCTATAGGGAGGGAATCTTTGTGCTTATGGGGTTTCCTTGGTTGGGGACTCTCTTGGGACCTTCCCTCTCATCCCTCTCTTCCTATCCCAACCTTTCTCTTGCTCCTTCTAATTCCTTGTGAGATTCTTGAACTTTGATTGAACTTTTGAGATTGAGTTAAGTTCTCCTCCTACAGCTTACCCCCTAATGCGTCGAAAGCCATAGCGTCGCGAATACTTCATTAATCAACGTGATTCAAATTGGAAACGGTAGCTGAGATTAAGAGCTACAACATATCCGAGTTTCGCGACATTCCAACGGCTAGTTTTTGGTCAACGTCGTTTCTTGTGAAGACGACTTTTCTGTCCAGAATTTCGGATTTATATTTTGAGTAATTCTAGTTCCTAAGTTCACCTACACTCCGTCCTTAATCCTAACATGCTTGGCTTCGCTTAGCTTTGCTTCGCTTCGCTTAGGTTCGCTTTGCTTCTCTTAGCTTCCCTTCGCTTCTCTTCGCTTCTCTTAACTTCGCTTCGCTTAGCTTTGCTTTGCTTCGCTTCGCTTCCCTTAGCTTCGCTTAGCTTTGCTTCACTTCGCTTAGCTTCGCTTTGCTTCCCTTAGCTTTGCTTCGCTACGCTTAGCTTCGCTTTGCTTCTCTTAACTTCGCTTCGCTTTGCTTCGTTTAGCTTTGCTTCGCTTCGCTTGGCTTTGCTTCACTTCGCTTAGCTTCGATTCCCATCGCTTAGCTTCGCTTTGCTTCCCTTAGCTTCGCTTCTCTTTGCTTAGCTTCACTTAGCTTCGCTTCGCTTCACTTAGCTTCGCTTGGCTTTGCTTGGCTTCGCTTAGCTTCACTTCGCTTCGCTTCTCTTAGCTTCGCTACGCTTTGCTTAGCTTCGCTTAGTTTCGCTTAGCTTCGCTTCGCTTCTCTTTGCTTCTCTTCGCTTAGCTTCCCTTCGCTTCGCTTAGCTTTGCTTAGCTTCGCTTCTCTTTGCTTAGCTTCAGTTGGCTTTGCTTAGCTTCGCTTGGCTTCACTTAGCTTCGCTTGGCTTCACTTAGCTTCGCTTCGCTTTGCTTAGCATCGCTTCGCTTCTCTTCGCTTCTCTTTGCTTCGCTTCGCTTAGCTTCACTTCGCTTCGCTTAGCTTCGCTTCTCTTTGCTTAGCTTTGCTTAGCTTCGCTTGGCTTTGCTTGGCTTCGCTTGGCTTCGCTTGGCTTCGCATCGCTGAGCTTCGCTTCGCTTTGCTTAGCTTTGCTTAGTTTCGCTTAGCTTCGCTTCGCTTTGCTTAGCTTCGCTTAGCTTCCCTTCGCTTAGCTTCGCTTCCCTTCGCTTAGCTTCGCTTAGCATTGCTTAGCTTCGCTTAGCTTCGCTTAGCTTCGCTTCGCTTCGCTTTGCTTCTCTTAGCTTCGCTTAGCTTCGCTTCGCTTCTCTTTGCTTCTCTTCGCTTCGCTTTGCTTTGCTTAGCTTCGCTTCGTGTCGCTTAGCTTCGCTTCGCTTTGCTTAGCTTTGCATAGCTTCGCTTAGCTTCCCTTCGCTTCGCTTAGCTTTGCTTAGCTTTGCTTCGCATCCCTTAGCTTCGCTTAGCTTCGCTTAGCTTCTCTTAGCTTTTGCTAAGCTTCGCTACGCTTCACTTCGCTTCTCTTCACTTCGCTTCGCTTCTCTTCGCTTCTCTACGCTTCGCTTCGCTTCTCTTTGCTTCGCTTCTCTTCGCTTTGCTTCGCGTCGCTTCACTTAGCTTTGCTTCGCTTAGCTTCGCTTCGCATCGATTAGCTTCGCTTAGCTTCGCTTCGCCTTGTTAAGCTTCGCTTCGCTTCGCTTTGCTTAGCATCGCTTAGCTTCGCTTCGCTTCGCTTCGCTTAGCTTCGCTTCGCTTAGCTTCGCTTCGCTTGGCTTCGCTTGGCTTCGCTTGGCTTCCCTTAGCTTTGCTTAGCTTCGCTTAGCTTCACTTAGCTTCGCTTTGCTTCGCTCAGATTCGCTTGGCTTCGCTTAGCTTCGCTTGGCTTCGCTTAGCTTCGCTTCGCTTTGCTTAGCTTCGCTTAGTTTTGCTTAGCTTCGCTTCGCTTCGCTTAGCTTCGCTTAGCTTCGCTTAGCTTCGCTTAGCTTCGCTTAGCTTCCCTTCGCTTCGCCTAGCTTCGCTTTGCTTCCCTTAGCTTCGCTTAGCTTTGCTTCATTTTGCTTAGCTTTGCCTAGCTTTGCTTAGCTTTGCTTGGCTTCGCTTGGCCTCGCTTATCTTCGCTTCGCTTCGCTTAGCTTCGCTTCGCATGGCTTCGCTTTGCTTCTCTTAACTTTGCTTAGCTTCGCTTCGCTTAGCTTCGCTTCGCTTCCCTTAGCTTCGCTTTGCTTAGCTTCGCTTCTCTTAAATTCGCTTCGCTTAGCTTTGCTTCGCTTCCCTTAGCTTCCCTTGGCTTCGCTTGGCTTCGCTTATCTTTGCTTAGCTTCGCTTCGCATAGCTTCGCTTCGTTTGCTTAGCTTCGCTTGGTTTCGCTTCGCTTATCTTCGCTTCGCTTCACTAAGCTTTGCTTCGCTTCACTTAGCTTCGCTTCGCTTAGCATAGCTTGGCTTCGCTTCGCGTAGCTTTGCTTAGCTTTGCTTCGCTTCGCTTAGCTTCGCTTCGCTTCGCTTAGCTTTGCCTAGCTTTGCTTAGCTTCGCTTAGCTTTGCCTAGCTTTGCTTTGCTTCGCTCTGCTTCGCTTCGCTTCGCATAGCTTCGCTTCGCTTCTCTTAGCTTCGCTTTGCTTCGCTCCTCTTAGCTTCTCTTTGCTTCGCTTCAATTAGCTTCGCTTCCCTTAGCTTCGCTTCGCTTCTCTTCGCTTCTCTTTGCTTTGCTTCGCTAAGCTTCGCTTCGCTTAGCTTCGCTTAGCTTTGCTTGGCTTCGTTTGGCATCGCTTACCTTCGGTTCGCTTAGCTTTGCTTGGCTTTGCTTAGCTTCGCTTTGCTTTGATAGCTTCGCTTAGGTTCGCTTAGCTTCCCTTCGCTTCGCTTAGCTTCGCTTCGCATCCCTTAGCTTCGCTTAGCTTCTCTTAGCTTTGCTAAGCTTCGCTTCGCTTCACATCGCTTCTCTTCGCTTCGCTTCTCTTCGCTTCTCTTCGCTTCGCTTCGCTTAGCTTCGCTTCGCTTTGATTAGCTTCGCTTTGCTTCGCTTAGCTTCGCTTAGCTTCGCTTCGCTTTGATTAGCTTTGCTTTGCTTCTCTTCGCCTCACTTTGCTTCGCTTCGCTTAGCTTCGCTTTGCTTCTCTTAGCTTCCCTTCGCTTCTCTTTGCTTCTCTTAACCTCGCTTCGCTTTGCTTTGCTTTGCTTCGCTTCGCTTCCCTTAGCTTCGCTTCGCTTCGCTTAGCTTTGCTTCACTTCGCTTAGCTTTGCTTTGCTTCCCTTAGCTTTGCTTCGCTACGCTTTGCTTCGCTTCGCTTCTCTTAACTTCGCTTTGCTTAGCTTCGTTTAGCTTCGCTTCGCTTCGCTTGGCTTTGCTTCATTTCGCTTAGCTTCGATTCCCATCGCTTAGCTTCGCTTCGCTTCCCTTAGCTTCGCTTCTCTTTGCTTAGCTTCACTTAGCTTCGCTTCGCTTCACTTAGCTTCACTTGGCTTCGCTTGGCTTCGCTTAGCTTCACTTTGCTTCGCTTCGTTTAGCTTCGCTACGCTTTGCTTAGCTTCGCTTAGTTTCGCTTAGCTTCGCTTTGCTTCTCTTCGCTTCTCTTCGCTTAGCTTCCCTTCGCTTCGCTTAGCTTCGCTTCTCTTTGCTTAGCTTCAGTTGGCTTTGCTTAGCTTCGCTTGGCTTCACTTAGCTTCGCTTGGCTTCACTTAGCTTCGCTTCGCTTTGCTTAGCTTCGCTTCGCAACTCTTCGCTTCTCTTTGCTTCGCTTCGCTTAGGTTCACTTCGCTTCGCTTAACTTCGCTTCTCTTTGCTTAGCTTCGCTTGGCTTCGCTTGGCTTTGCTTGGCTTCGCTTGGCTTCGCTTGGCTTCGCATCGCTTAGCTTCGCTTCGCTTTGCTTAGCTTCGCTTAGTTTCGCTTAGCTTCGCTTCGCTTCGCTTACCTTCCCTTCGCTTAGCTTTGCTTCCCTTCGCTTAGCTTCGCTTAGATTTGCTTAGCTTCGCTTAGCTTCGCTTCGCTTCCCTTAGCTTTGCTTAGCTTTGCTTCGCTTCCATTAGCTTTGCTTCGCTACGCTTAGCTTCGCATCGCTTCTCTTAGCTTCGCTTCGCTTCTCTTCACTTCTCTTATCTTCGCTTCGCTTCGCTTTGCTTCTCTTAGCTTCGCTTAGCTTCGCTTCGGTTCGCTTAGCTTCGCTTTGCTTCTCTTCGCTTCACTTCGCTTTGCTTAGCTTCCCTTCGCGTCGCTTTGCTTCGCTTAGCCTCACTTTGCTTTGCTTAGCTTCGCTCAGCTTCGCTTAGCTATTTTTCGCTTCGCTTAACTTCGCTTCGCTTCTCTTTGCTGTGCGTAACTTCGATTCGCTTTGCTTAGCTTCCCTTCCCTTAGCTTCGCTTCACTTCTCTTAGCTTCTCTTTGCTTCGCCTAGCTTCGCTTGGCTTCGCTTAGCTACGCTTCACTTCGCTTAGCTTTGCTTAGCTTTGCTTAGCTTCGCTTAGCTTCCCTTCGCTTCGCTTAGCTTTGCTTAGCTTCGCTTTGCTTCCCTTAGCTTTGCTTCGCTCCGATTAGGTTCGCTTAGTTTTGATTCGCTTCGCTTAGCTTGCCTTTGCTTTGCTTCGCTTCGCTAAGCATCGCTTTGCTTCCCTTAGCTTCGCTCCGCTTCGCTTAGCTTCGCTTCGCTTCTCTTAGCTTCGCATAGCTTCGCTTTGCTTCCCTTAGCTTCGCTTAGCTTCGCTTAGCTTTGATTCACTTCTCTTAGCTTCGCTTAGCTTCGCTTTGCTTCCCTTAGCTTCGCTTCGCTTCGCTTCCCTTAGCTGTTATAATCACAATAGGCTTAGATAGGCTTATAATGAGAGATAGAGAGCACAGTCGGATTTCCGTTAGACGGCTTCAAATATTGATAGCTATCTGGTCGCTGAATGAAACGGTGATCTGTAAGTTGGATCTAAAGCGCGTGGCTGTCGTCTATCAGCAGCAAGTTGAATCATGAAATTCCATGAAGATTTGACGACGCTATGGCGGTTTGACTGGCAGGAGGTATAGCAGCCACTATAGGCTTGGAAGTACAAACTTAGCAAGAAGAGTTCGAGAGGGAGATAGTTCCCAGCCTCTACATACCCCAAGAGCCGAGGTCCAGGTTGGTGGTACACCACCACAGAGTCCCCAACCATGAAGAGTCTCGAAACCAACCCTCCAAGGGGCTGCACCAAGTGAAATGTAACACTACACGAAGTAACGTTACTATTTTCACTATTTAATATTTATCCGCGTCCCTTGGGCTTGAAATCTTGAGCTCTTGTTCTTGGATCTGCAAGATAAATTCTTCTTGAGTTGATGGGGGCTTGCTGCACACACCTGCGACACGATGGACACTTCACACTCGACAAAATAGAAAAAACACATGCGACACACAAACGACGACTTCACATGCGAGTTGTAAAAACTCGCTAATGTCTTGACCGACACAAACCACATTGTGATACACCATTCAAACAGACACACAAGCACCGGATAGCAATGACATAGACTCACAATTCATTCCATGCCATGCATGCACACACACAAGCAAGGACGACAAGCCGAGTGCAAGCCATAGGGTTGCACCAACATTAGCTTCTCTTCGCTTAGCTTCGCTTCGCTTTGCATAGCTTCGCTGAGCTTCGCTTCGCTTTGCTTATCTTCGCTTCGCATCGCTTAGATTCGATTCGATTCGCTTTGCTTGGCTTACCTTCGCTTCGCTTCGCTTAGCTTTGCTTAGCTTCGCTTCGCTTCTCTTAGCTTCGCTTAGCTTTGCTTCGCTTCTCTTCGCTTTGGTTCGCTTCACTTAGCTTTGCTTCCCTTCAATTAGCTTCGCTTCACTTCTCTTCGCTTCTCTTTGCTTTGCTTAGCCTCGCTTGGCTTCGCTTGGCTTAGCTTTGCTTGGCTTCGCTTCACATTGCTTACCTTCGCTTCGCTTAGCTTTGCTTGGCTTTGCTTCGCTTTGCTTAGCTTCGCTTAGCTTCCCTTCGCTTAGCTTTGCTTCGCATCCCTTAGCTTCGCTTAGCTTTGCTTAGCTTCTCTTAGCTTTTGCTAAGCTTCGCTACGCTTCACTTCGCTTCTCTTCGCTTCGCTTCGCTTCTCTTCGCTTTGCTTCGCCTTGATAAGCTTTGGTTCGCTTCGCTTTGCTTAGCATCGCTTAGCTTCACTTCGCTTAGCTTCGCTTCGCTTAGCTTCGCTTCGCTTGGCTTCGCTTAGCTTCCCTTAGCTTTGCTTAGCTTCGCTTAGCTTCGCTTAGCTTTGCTTTGCTTCGCTCAGCTTCGCTTGGCTTCGCTCAGCTTCGCTTGGCTTCGCTTAGCTTCGCTTCGCTTTGCTTAGCTTCGCTTAGTTTTGCTTATCTTCGCTTCGCTTTGCTTCGCTTAGCTTCGCTTAGCTTCCCTTTGCTTCGCTTAGCTTCGCTTTGCTTCCCTTAGCTTCGCTTCTTTTTGCTTAGCTTTGCCTAGCTTCGCTTAGCTTCGCTTGGCTTCGCTTGGCCTCGCTTAGCTTTGCTTCGCTTCGCTTGGCTTCGCTTTGCTTCTCTTAACTTTGCTTAGCTTCACTTCGCTTCGCTTCTCTTAGCTTCGCTTTGCTTAGCTTCGCTTCTCTTAAATTCGCTTCGCTTAGCTTTGCTTTGCTTCCCTTAGCTTTGCTTGGCTTCGCTTGGCTTCGCTTATCTTCGCTTCGCTTCGCTTAGCTTCGCTTCGCATAGCTTCGCTTCGCTTTGCTTTGGTTCGCTTGGTTTCGCTTCGCTTATCTTCGCTTCGCTTCACTAAGCTTTGCTTCGCTTCACTTAGCTTCGCTTTGCTTAGCAAAGCTTGGCTTCGCTTAGCGTAACTTGGCTTTGCTTCGCTTAGCTTCGCTTCGCTTCGCTTAGCTTTGCCTAGCTTTTCTTAGCTTCGCTCTGCTTCGCTTCGCTTTACATAGCTTCGCTTCGCTTCTCTTAGCTTCGCTTTGCTTCGCTTCACTTAGCTTCGCTTCCCTTAGCTTCGTTTCGCTTCTCTTCGCTTCATTTTGCTTCGCTTCGCTAAGCTTCGCTTCGCTTAGCTTCGCTTCTGTTATAGTCACAATAGGCTTAGATGTGCCTATATTGAGAGATAGAGAGCACAGTCGGATTTCCGTCAGACGGCTTCAAATATTGATAACGATCTGGTCGCTGAATCAAACGGTGATCTGTAAGTTGGATCTAGAGCGATTTGTTGTCGTCTATCAGCAGCAAGTTGAATCATAAAATTCCATGAAGATTTGACGACGCTATGGCGGTTTGACTGGCAGGAGGTACAGTAGCCACTACAGTCTTAGGAGTACAAACTTAGCAAGAAGAGTTCGAGAGGGAGATAGTTCCCAGCCTCTACATACCCCAAGAGCCGAGTTCCAGGTTGGTGGTACACCACCACAGAGTCCCCAACCATGAAGAGTCTCGAAACCAACCCTCCAAGGGGCTACACCAAGTGAAATGTAACACTACACGAAGTAACGTTACTATTTTCACTATTTAATATTTATCCGCGTCCCTTGGGCTTGAAATCTTGAGCTCTTGGTCTTGGTTCTGCAAGATAAATTCTTCTTGAGTTGATGGGGGCTTGCTGCACACACCTGCGACACGATGGACACTTCACACTCGACAAAATAGAAATAACACATGCGACACGCAAACGACGACTTGACATGCCAGTTGTAAAAACTCGCTAATGTCTTGACCGACACAAACCACATTGTGATACACCATTCAAACACACACACAAGCACTGGATAGCAATGACATAGACTCACAATTCATTCCATGCCATGCATGCACACACACAAGCAAGGACGACAAGCCGAGTGCAAGCCATAGGGTTGCACCAACAAACTCCCCCTCGGATTGTTGGCCTTAGAATCTGCTCCCCTTAGTTCAGAGCCATCCCAGCAAGCTTGCAACACTTCCAATGCTGCTGCTCAACCAGCCTCTTGGTCATCATATCAGCAGGCTGCGCCGTCGTCTTCACGTAGTGCAACTCCACTTCAGCCGCGGTTACCATGCTCCTCACCCAATGCCACTTCACCTTCATGTGCTTGGTAAGGCCATGAAGAACCGGGTTCTTAGCCAATGCAATAGCACCCTGGCTATCACAATAGAGTGGGGTAGGTCCTTGCTGCTCCTCCCCCAATTCAGCTAGCAAACGCCGCTGCCACACAACCTCTCTTATGGCACGGAAGAGTGCCATGTACTCGGACTCCACCGAGCTCAATGCTTGGTCCACTTGCTTCTTGCTCTCCCAAGCTGTTGGCCCTCCACCAACACAGCAGATGAAACCTCCCACACTTGTCATGTCCTCTGGTTCTGATGCCCAAGATGCATCAGAGAAGGCGGTGAGAAAGAGCCTCCCGGGTTCGACTCCATCCGCACCCTTTTGACGTCTTTGTGCCGCCGCGGAGTCTTGCAGTCCAACAGTTGCTGTTTGGCCAAGGTACTTGGCCACCCTCTCTCCAGCTGCTACCTGCTCCTCATTAGGGCATTGGACAACCCTAGCCAGCTGCCCGGTAGAAAAGGCTGCATCCGGCCTTGTGTGAACGGCCGCATACATGAGGCTGCCCACCAAGGAGTGAAAACGGCGCCTCTCCTCTTCACCAACACTTTCCTCCGCTGGTCCTTTCACACACTTGAACCCTGAGGTAAGAGGAGTAGCCACATGACCTTCACTCTTCCCAAAGTTTGCAGCCAAGGCCTCCAAGTACTTCTTTTGATGCACTCGCATCCACCGCTTCTCCACATCTCGCTCAATGTGAAGCCCAAGGTAGTAGTTGACGTCACCAAGGGTCTTGCACTTGAACTTGTCTTGAAGCTTCAGCATCACCTCCTTCACAAGGTCAGAGGAGGGTGAGAATATGAGGATGTCATCCACATAAACCACCATGAAGCTCCTCTGCTCCCCCTCGCCAAGCATGAACAAGGATTGATCGGCCGTTGAGGGAGTGAAGTCGATCGCCTCCAAGACTTCCCGCAGCTTGATGTACCATTGCCTAGGGGCTTGCTTGAGGCCATAGAGTGCTTTCTTCAGCTTCCACACTCTGCCACTCCCATCATTGTACCCCTCTGGCTGCTCCATGTAGGTCTCTTCCTCCAAAACGCCATTGAGGAAGGCCGTTACTATATCCATTTGCTTCACCACCCATCCCTTGATGGCCGCCGCGGCGAAGAGGGTTCGAAGGGTTGTACCCTTCACCACAGGGGCATACACTTCATTGTAGTCCTTCTTCTCTTGCTGCTGATACCCCTTGGCTACAAGTCTGCTCTTGTAGCGCTCAATATTGCCGTCGGCGTCGGTCTTGCGCTTGAAGAGCCACTTGGAAGAAATCGCCTTACGCCCCGGAGGTAGGTTCACCAAGTCAAACGTGTTGTTCTCGATGATGCTCCCCATTTCTTCATCTGAGGCCTTCTTCCACTCCTTCCCATTGGGGCCCTCCCAAGCCTCCTTGGGATTTGTAGGCTCCCCCGGTATCTCCACCGGAGAGAAGAAGGCAAAAGCGCACTCCTCGCTTTCATCTTCCGCATCATCACCTAGCATGAGAGCCGAACCGGTCAAGGTTGAGTTGGCTGGTCCTCCAAGCCGTTCATAGCTCAACCTATTGGGGGGCTGAGTCCTCCTTCTCCCCCTTCCTTCCTCCTCTGCTGCAGGGACTTGAATGCTCTCATGGCGTTGCGGCAAATCTGGTCGGTTTCCTCGAGCACTTGTAGCACGAGGCGGAAGTGACGGTGCACGCTCATCACCTTGCTGCACCTCCTCCTCCTCTTCTCCCCCATTCATTTGAGGAGATTGCCTTGTGATAGTGCTGCTGCTACTCAGCTCCAAGGGCAGCTCCACATGCTCCAAGCCGGTACTCTTCACCTCTCCAAGCCGCACACCAATCTTCGCTTGGTTCTCCGCCTTCCACTCCTTGTACGGTAAGTTCTCCATGAACTTGCAATCTCTGCTCACCAGGAACTTCTTGGTAAATGGGTCCCAAAGAAGCCATCCCTTGCTGTTTTGAGCCATGCCCAGGTGCACGGCCCATGTTGCCTTGGCATCAAGCTTGTTGTGCCGAAGTTTCTTAGGCACAAGTGCCATGCACATGCACCCGAACACCCGAAGCATATCCACCTTCAGCTTCCTTCCAATCCACTCCACATAGGGCACCCATTTGTCTTCTCCCACATGAGTCAAGGCTCTGTTCTTGGCCACACAAGCATGCCGCACCGCATCCGGCCAAAAGTAATTGGGTAGACCGGCTTCAATGAGAAGTCCCCGAGCCGTCTCCGTGAGTGTCCGATTCGCACGCTCGGCGATGCCGTTCATTGCAGGAGAGTAGGGCATGGTAAGAGAGTGTCTTATGCCCTGATTCTTCAGCCAAGTTGAGAAATCCTTGCTCAGGAACTCTCCCCCACGGTCAGTGCGAATCGCCTTCACAAGTCGGTCTTGTTGCCGCTCCACCATCGGCAACCAATCGGTCTTCACCGTTTCAGCTACGTCACTCTTCTTGGGCAGTACATACACCCAAGTCATGCGAGTGTAGACGTCCACAATGGTGAGGAAGTACTCTGCTCCAGCAGCTCCAAGCTTCAAGGGGCCCACCACATCCATCACCACCTCATCAAGTGGTGCCTTCGCCGTTGTCTCCGAGCTATGGAACGGGTAGCGGGTGAACTTGGCTTGCATGCATGTTGGACAGCCAAGCACCTCATTGGGCTCCCCCTTGACACGTATCCCACTGACCATCTCTTGCTTAACAATCTGCTGCAAAATGGGCAATGCCACATGCCCCATTCGCCGATGCAAGGTCAGCCAATCACACTCTCCCGTAGCGGAAGTCGGGTTGGAGAAAGCGGCACTCGCAATTGTGCCCCACAAGCTCTCTCCTTTCTCCTTCGCCGCTGCTGCTTTGTTGATCTTAGCCTTCTCCTCCTCATTTCCACCACCTTTGGCTGCTGCACCATTCTCCTTGGGTTCACACGCCTTGCTGGTCTCTCCAAGGTTGCACTCCTTCGAGTCACTCTTGGTGTCACTTTGCTTTCCGTGATCACCGCCACCAACCGCTTCACGCTTGGTGCTGACGCTTGCTGCCACTTGCCTCTCTTTAGGCATGGGGACCACTGGGATTTTCCACATCTCATTGTAGATGTCCCTGTCCTCATGAAGGTCCCAAAGCTTCCGCTCACCAAGCCTTGCGGTATAGGTTTTGGATCCCTTGGAAGATGTGTCCATGCCGGCCTTTTGCAAACGCCGAACGGAAATCAGGTTGGCTGCTAGGTTGGGCACCAAAAGCACGTTCTTGAGGCCCACCATCTTCCCATCAGCACCCTTGAACATGGCCTTGCCCATGCCTTTCACCTCTGCTCGCTGCCCCAAAGCCGATGTAACATGCTTGACCGGCGACGGTTCGAGTTCGGTGAGCAAGTCCGCACGAGGTGTCATGCTATAGGTGGCGCCACTATCGATCACCCAAAAGTCCAGAGAGTGAAGGGTGACCTTTCCCACAGTAGCTGGCTCCTCAAAGCCTTCCACACCTCCTGCTGCAGCTGCCGCTTGCGTGGAGACAAAGAAGAATTGGCCCGGGTATCGATCTTCACTCGAGTCCTTGTCGTAGTCTCCACCTTTCATGCTTGCCGCTTCGCTTCCACGACCACCACGGCCTCCACGACCTCTGCCTCTTCCTCCCCTTGCTCCTCTGCCCTCTTGGCCTTGAGAAGGGGTCCATCCATCAGGCAATCTGAAGCAATCTCTCCACATGTGGCCGGTCTTGTGGCAAAAGTGGCATTCGCCATCAAATCGACCGCGCCCACGCCCGTAGCCATTGTTGTTGTTGTTGCTGCCATATCCTCCATTACCACGGCCTCCATTGAAGTTACTGCTGCCAAATCTTCCTCCTCGCCCTCTGCCCCTTCCACGGCCGTGCCCACGGCCCATGCTTGCAACTCCGGCACCATCGGGACCCGCCAATTCGCGACGGCGGAAATCTTCTTGTAAGATTTCCCGCTTCACATCTTCGAGTGAGAGACGGGGCAGATCTCGATTAAGGTTGATGATGAGCGAGGACCATGAGTCCGGAAGTAAGGCCAGCAGCTTGGTCTTCTTTTGAAGGTCACTGTAGTTCAGATCAGCTCCTTCGAGCCGTGTCAACAAGTCGAAGAATTTCTGCACTCCTTCCTCCACCGGTTCGCCTTCGTCAATTCGAAGTGCCGCCATTTGCCGCTCCAAAACCACAGCCACCGCCGCTATTGCAGGAGCGTGTACACCCTTGAGAGCAGCCCATGCCTTTGGTCCCTTTGCTGGTTCACGCTGAAAATGCTTGATGTGACGGATTTGGCTGCTCCCCAACGCTTGCCCAAGTAGAAGGTAGCCTTGTGCGCTCTTCCGCACCCACGGGCTCTTCTCCGGGTCGTTCTCGGGGCGCTTCTCCGTTCCTTCCATCACCTCCAGCAGATCATAGTGGTCAAAGATGTTCTCCATCTTGAAGGACCACTCAGCAAAGTTGTCACCGTTGAACTTGTCAAGGCCAAACACTCTAGGCTCATCCCTAGAGGGTCCAAGGCTAGGTTGCATCGGAGCAACGGGTGGATCTTGGTGTTGACCTTGTGCTTGGGCGTCTTCTCTGCCTCCAGCACCTCTGCCATCCCCTTCCTCAGGTCTAGGCATGGTCGAGACGGCTCCAAGGGGCTCTGATACCACTTGTTATAGTCACAATAGGCTTAGATGTGCCTATATTGAGAGATAGAGAGCACAGTCGGATTTCCGTCAGACGGCTTCAAATAATGATAACGATCTGATCGCTGAATCAATCTGTGATCTGTAAGTTGGATATACAGCGCGCTGTTGTTGTCTATCAGCAGCAAGTTGAATCATAAAATTCCATGAAGATTTGACGACGCTATGGCGGTTTGACTGGCAGGAGGTACAGTAGCCACTATAGTCTTAGGAGTACAAACTTAGCAAGAAGAGTTCGAGAGGGAGATGGTTCCCAGCCTCTACATACCCCAAGAGCCGAGGTCCAGGTTGGTGGTACACCACCACAGAGTCCCCAACCATGAAAGAGTCTCGAAACCAACCCTCCAAGGGGCTACACCAAGTGAAATGTAACACTGCACAAAGTAACGTTACTATTTTCACTATTTAATATTTTTCCGCGTCCCTTGGGCTTGAAATCTTGAGCTCTTGGTCTTGGTTCTGCAAGATAAATTCTTCTTGAGTTGATGGGGGCTTGCTGCACACACCTGCGACACGATGGACACTTCACACTCGACAAAATAGAAATAACACATGCGACACGCAAACGACGACTTGACATGCCGGTTGTAAAAACTCGCTAATGTCTTGACCGACACAAACCACATTGTGATACACCAATCAAACACACACACAAGCACTGGAGAGCAATGACATAGACTCACAATTCATTCCATGCCATGCATGCACACACACAAGCAAGGACGACAAGCCGAGTGCAAGTCATAGGGTTGCACCAACAGCTTCGCTTCGCTTAGCTTCGCTTAGCTTTGTTTGGCTTCGTTTGGCATTGCTTACCTTCGCTTCGCTTAGATTTGCTTGGCTTTGCTTAGCTTCCCTACGCTTTGATAGCTTCGCTTAGCTTCCGTTAGCTTCCCTTCGCTTCGCTTAGCTTCGCTTCGCATCCCTTAGCTTCGCTTAGCTTCGCTTAGCTTCTCTTAGCTTTGCTAAGCTTCGCTTCGCTTCACATCGCTTCTCTTCGCTTCGCTTCGCTTCGCTTCTCTTTGCTTCGCTTCACTTAGCTTCGCTTCGATTTGATTAGCTTAGCTCTGCTTCGCTTAGCTTCGCTTAGCTTTGATTAGCTTTGCTTCGCTTCTCTTCGCCTCGCTTTGCTTCGCTTCGCTTTGCTTAGCATCGCTTAGCTTCGCTTCGCTTAGCTTCGCTTCGCTTAGCTTCGCTTTGCTTTCCTTAGCTTTGCTTAGCTGCGCTTAGCTTTGCTTCGCTTCGCTTAGCTTCGCTTAGCTTCGCTTGGCTTCGCTTAGCTTCGCTTCGCTTAGCTTGGCTTAGCTTCGCTTCGCTTAGCTTCACTTCGCTTTGCTTAGCTTCACTTAGTTTTGCTTAGCTTCGCTTAGCTTTGCTTCGCTTGGCTTCGCTTTGCTTGGCTTTGCTTAGCTTCGCTTAGCTTCGCTTAGCTTCCCTTTGCTTCACTTAGCTTCGCTTTGCTTCCCTTAGCTTCGCCTAGCTTCGCTTAGCTTCGCTTCTATTTGCTTAGCTTCACTTAGCTTCGCTTGGCCTCGCTTGGCCTCGCTTAGCTTCGCTTCGCTTGGCTTCGCTTTGCTTGGCTTCGCTTAGCTTTGCTTCGCTTCGCTTAGCTTCGCTTTGCTTCTCTTAGCTTCCCTTCGCTTCTCTTCGCTTCTCTTAACTTCGCTTCGCTTAGCTTTGCTTTGCTTCGCTTCGCTTCCCTTAGCTTCGCTTCGCTTCGCTTAGCTTCGCTTTGCTTCCCTTAGCTTCGCTTAGCTTCACTTCGCTTCGCTTCGCTTCGCTACACTTAGTTTCGCTTCGCTTCTCTTAGCTTCGCTTTGCTTCTCTTCGCTTCTCTATCTTCGCTTCGCTCATCTTCGCTTAGCTCCATTTTGCTTCTCTTAGCTTCGCTTAGCATCCCTTCGGTTCGCTTTGCTTCTCTTCGCTTCTCTTCGCTTCGCTTCTCTTCGCTTCTCTTCGCTTTGCTTCGCTTCACTTAGCTTCGTTTCACTTAGCTTTGCTTCGATTCACTTAGCTTCGCTTCGCTTCTCTTTGCTTCGCTTCGCTAAGCTTCGCTTCGCTTGGCTTCACTTCACATCGCTTACCTTTGCTTCGCTTAGCTTTGCTTGGCTTTGCTTAGCTTCGCTTCGCTTTGCTTAGCTTCGCTTAACTTCGCTTAGCTTTGCTTAGCTTCGCTTAGCTTCGCTTAGCTTCGCTTAGCTTCCCTTCGCTTTGCTTAGCTTCGCTTAGCTTCGCTTCGCATCCCTTAGCTTCGCTTAGCTTCGCTCAGCTTCTCTTAGATTTGCTTAGCTTCGCTTCGCTTTGCTTTGCTTAGCTTCGCTTCGCTTTGCTTTCGATAGCTTCGCTTAGCTTTGCTTCGCTTAGCTTCGCTTCGCTTCCCTTAGCTTCGCTTAGCTTCGCTTAGCTTTGCTTAGCTTTGCTTCTCTTCGCTTTGCCTAGCTTCGCTTAGTTTCGCTTCTCTTCGCTTCTCGCTTAGCTTCCCTTCGCTTCGCTTAGCTTCGCTTAGCTTCGCTTAGCTTCCCTTTGCTTCGCTTAGCTTCGCTTAACTTTGCTTTGCTTGGCTTCGCTTAGCTTTGCTTCGCCTCTCTTTGCTTAGCTTCGCTTAGCTTCGCTTGGCTTCACTTGGCTTAGCTTAGCTTCGCTTCGCCTCGCGTAGCTTCGCTTCGCTTAGTTTCGCTTCACTTAGCTTTGCTTCACTTCGCTTAGCTTCGCTTCGCTTGTCTTAGCTTCGCTTCGCTTCTCTTAACTTCGCTTCGCTTCGCTTCCCTTAGCTTTGCTTAGCTTTGCTTTGCTAAGCTTCGCTTTGCTTTGCTTAGCCTCGCCTAGCTTCGCTTAGCTTCGCTTAGCTTCCCTTCGCTTCGCTTAGCTTTGCTTTGCTTCCCTTAGCTTCGCTTAGCTTCGCTTAGCTTGGCTTCTCTTTGTTTAGCTTCGCTTAGCTTCGCATAGCTTCACTTGGCTTCGCTTGGCTTTGCTTGGCTTCGCTTAGCATCGCCTCGCTTCGCTTACCTTCGCTTCGCTTCGCTTCGCTTTGCTTAGCTTCGCTTAGTTTCGCTTAGCTTTGCTTTGCTTCTCTTTGCTTATCTTCGCTTCGCTTTGCTTAGCTTCGCTTAGCTTCCCTTTGCTTCACTTAGCTTCGCTTTTCTTCCCTTAGCTTCGCTTAGCTTCGCTTAGCTTCGCTTCTCTTCGCTTAGCTTCGCTTCGCTTTGCTTAGCTTCGCTTGGCTTTGCTTGGCTTCGCTTAGCTTTGCTTCGCTTCCCTTAGCTTCGCTTAGCTTCACTTCGCTTCGCTTAGCTTTGCTTCGCTTCCCTTAGCTTCGCTTCGCTACACTTAGCTTCGCTTCGCTTCTCTTAGCTTCGCTTTGCTTCTCTTCGCTTCTCTTAACTTCGCTTCGCTTATCTTCGCTTCGCGTCGCTTAGCTCCGTTTTGCTTCTCTTAGCTTCGCTTAGCTTCCCTTCGGTTCGCTTTGCTTCGCTTCGCTTCTCTTCGCTTCTCTTCGCTTCGCTTCTCTTCGCTTCTCTTCGCTTCGCTTCGCTTAGCTTCGCTTAGCATAGCTTGGCTTCGCTTCGCGTCGCTTCGCTTTGCATCACATAGCTTCCCTTCGCTTCTCTTAGCTTCGCTTCGATTCTCTTCGCTTCTCTTCGCCTTGCTTCAAATCACTTAGCTTCGCTTCACTTAGCTTTGCTTGGCTTCAATTCGCATCGCTTACCTTTGCTTCGCTTAGCTTTGCTTGGCTTTGCTTAGCTTCGCTTCGCTTTGCTTAGCTTCGCTTAGCTTCCCTTCGCTTTGCTTAGCCTCGCTTAGCTTCGCTTCGCATCCCTTAGCTTCGCTTAGCTTCGCTCAGCTTCTCTTAGCTTTGCTTAGCTTCGCTTCGCTTCACTTCGCTTCTCTTCGCTTCGCTTTCTT